AGATATTAAAATCTGTAAATTAGAATATCTGATTCTATATTCTTTCTAGATTAAAGGAGCGTTCATTTCGTTCGTTTATCATAAAAAATGTAGAAATCACACCATTTTTAGAAACATGCTTACAATTTCATTGCTCTACAAGGGCGGGCATTTAAATAAACTCCGTCCAGCTGCCCCTACCAGAAATTAAATGGCCTGTCTGATAAAGGTTAATTTTCACATTTATTTCACTATCACTAATATATTCACTCTCTAAACCACCACTGTATTCATATAAAACACCTCCTCACTACTTAACATGCATCTTCTTGCTGGGACATGCCATATTTAATTGAAAGAACTCGAACCCAGGACAGCTATTAAGCAACCAGCAACTTCCTGTCACACTCTGAAGTAGCCAGAACTTCTTGCAAGCACAATATACAAGCTTCCATTGCTGACTAGCATTATATCTACAATGGAGTAGATAGAAACATGTGACATCTATAGGCGTCATGGCCACTACGATACACAGTATCGCATTAACATCTATAGATGTCACAACCACCTGACTGTTAAAAGGACAGTTCAAGCCTGACAGAAATCTGAATACAATCCAATTTGAACAAAGAAAATAAATCACAACTCTTACCCATAAAGTACATTTTTTTCATTTCCCAACACTAAAAACTCCTATCCATCAAGTGGAAGCTTTCACACTCCCCTTCTGAAAGTGAACTGCAACTCCTGCAGCAGAATGCTGTCAAACATCCATTGCATATCAGGTTAATTTACCTTGCAGGTCCATCGGCAACCCCATCACCAATTTGGTGACAGAACATGCACTTGCGTGTGTCTTCAGGAATCTTGGCTGGAGTCATGGTGATTCCCAACCGAAACAGCATCTACAGAAAAACAGAGTGATGACTTTAATACATGGAAACATTACAAGGACCAACAGGGTAAACCACTGCCTCCACATAAAAAACTGTTTGAGTCATTAAGTGGGTCCCTTGTCACCATGGTACAGTGTCCTCATGACGCGAATGGAGAAGATTCCCTCCAGATATGGAAGGTAGCTGCAAGTATACTGAATAATCAGTGGCAGACAGCTGACAAGGGATGGTCCACCATCTTGGGGGTTTGGCATGGGGCTAACAACCCCTCACCATAAAAAATAAGCCTGTTACAATGTCACAAAAGGGCCTCAGACCTTCAGATTGTTCGGATAAATGACCTAAGTTGAAGAAAATGGACATTAAATTTAGGACAAGGAATGTAAGAAGTGTGCATAGGGCAGGTTCACTCAGGACAGTGCCAGAAGAAATATCAAAATATAAGTTAGATTTTGTGGGAGTACAGAGGTGGGTTACCTTATTCCTATTGTACTGTAAGACAATTAGAACAATGTCATTACATCAGATGGTTTTCAACATTGTTTCCAAGCACACAAGAGACTCTGGGATGAGAGTATAAACTTACAAGAGGCTATCAATTTTCCCTATAATGAATTTGATTCCTCACACAATTTCTATAACCAAAATTAACTGCAATATGAATATCATGAACTGTTAGCACTACTGTGTACCACAAACCTGGAGTATCCCAAAATATTTTCCTTTTTTATGTGCCTGGGTCTTAATTTCATTTTACCACTGAAAGAACGGGAGCAGGAGAAGGGCCACATTTTCTCACCTCTGTGATCTCCTTGTCAGTAGGCTTCTTATACTTGACAGCTGGCTGAATAGCACCTGGAGTCCAGTATTTATACTTGAGCCCCTTCCACACTTTGGTAGGAGGCGGACAGTGGGAAGCTGAGGCACTGGCTGGCTCATCCCCCGTGTGTCGGCGGCTCTTCTTCTCGCTAGACGTTACTCGAGGGGGGGTGGAAGATGGCGGTGTCATTACAGCTGTTACTGGCACAGCCTCCGTTTCTTGTTTAATTGGTACTTCTGTTTTCACGCTAATAGATTCAGCTACCTTCGCCTGTGACTAGTCACAAGAGACAAAACATATCACTGCAAGAAATCTGTGATTCAAGACAGACAAATGAAGATGTGTTACAATTCTATATAGTAGGCATGGCCAACTTCAAACAGGTTGTGATTGACTTTTTAGTGTGAAAACTGCCAGTGATCTATCACCCCCTCCTATCATCGTACCTCGCTTTAAGCAAAAATATTGGTAAAAGTAACATGACACATGATGTTTGTTGTAAAGGCAACATACACTGAAAGTACAGACTACTTTAACACGTATATTCCCTTCAAAATCTGAATATAATCATATTATATTACAAGTGAATTTACATGCTTTTCAAGTATAATTTCCTTATAGGCCTACGAGATCGACCAAAAATCATCCCACGATCAACGTGTTGGACATGCCTGCTATATAGCAATGAACAAAATCTACCGTATCCTTCTGAGCGAAAGGCATTTTTTTAATGGTCATCTTGTGTTTGAGTACAAAATATATTGTAGCGTGTTTTGCTTACTGAAGATGCCGTTCGGACTGTTAATAGGTTTATTCAACAAACTACTAGTAACGGCTACAATTAATTATAACAATGTTACAGGTTTCCACACTTTACAAACCCTACAACCAAATCTCTTCACACTATCACGATTCACTCGTTACAACTGAAATTGGTGACTACTACAATTCATTCACTCCTCACTGCTCACAGTTGGCTAGATTCCAACTTAACTCGTAGGCTGCTGCCTTGAGAACTGTTGATCACACACTAACTGTCTCCGGGGACGGCTACACGTTAACTCTCTCCAGCGGCTGTGCAGTTCCCTTATATAGCCGCAGTGCTTGCCTGTTGCGTAATGAGTGCCTTGTCACAGTAGGATTCGGTGCCACGTCGCCATGTTTGCATATAGCCTAGCAACGCTGTTACCTCACGCCGTCTTACGTCACTGCGCGTTGCGTGTTATGTCACCGTGCTGGGGGGGGGGGTTCTCCATTGCGCAACATGTCACACTGCTCCCTCCTTAAGGCTGTTCATCCCAAATAGCCTAACGGTGCATCCCCGTTCCTTTTCTTTGGAGGCTGTGCTTTCTGCGTCTCCTGTTTCGGCTACTCCTTGCAGCGACTATTATCTGGCCGTTACAACTGCTCCCTTCTTAAGACCAGCTCGTCTCGAGCGGTTTCCCTTCGACTCGCCCAGAAGATCCAGTGGTATCCCATTCATCCATCACTTTCATTCTTGCTCAGGCGGCCGGTACTTCTATGTTAGCAGCTCCTCCTCTTCTTGAAGTCTTCTTTTCCGTTTTGGAGGTGGTCGACACTTCCACAGTGTCCAGTCCTTGTTTATGTCTTCCATAAGAAGTTCCTTATGTCGACGTAACAGCCCTTGATGCGTTGTTTGCACTTGCTGATGTCGTCGTTCCTCCTGGTCCTCCAGCCACTTGCTGGTACGGGACCGTGGCGCCAAGTCCTTTCTCCGGCATCCGAAGGTTCCCAGGGGAATTTCCTTCTTGAAGTCATTTCTCCAACGTCGTGCCACTGTCACGTGACAGGATATCTTCCAGGTTACTTGTTCCACATTGCCTGCGTTTTGTCCCATATGCCTGTGTCCTGCACAGCGTGTAATCATTATTTTGGTAGCGGTCACTTCTTTCCGCAGTCCACACTTCCTGTGGGTCGAAGATTTCCTGAGGTAATTCCTCCTGAGCCATGCCACTGTTGCACGGCGGGACACCTTCTTGCAGGTTTTCTTCTGCCGAGCCACTTCCACGCGGAGGATTGTCCCTCTGCGGGCTACAGCCAACTTCTTCTAGGGTCCACAATTTTCCCGTGTCGAATTCATTTGTCGCTTGTTTCGGTCCCTACGCCTTTTCTTCTTCGGTTCTCTGACCGGCTTCACTTCGGCGTCTTCTACGGGCACCTCTCGTTGCTCTGCCGCCTCAGGTTTCATGTCCACTGAGGTCGGCTTTTCTTCTTCTGGATGTGCCTCCATTTCTCGGCAGGCCATCGTCTCTTCGACCGGTATCACTATGGGGACCTCTTCTTGTTGTGCCGCCCTTGCTGGGGTTGCTCTTGTCTCCGCGGAACTCTTTTCTCGCCAGGCGACCATCTCTTCTCGCCAGGCTTTCAAGTCGGCGTCCATTTTTGCCTCAATTAATGCTAGCTTGTCGATTATTCATTGCATTTCTTGCTTATCCATTCTAGCCATCACTGTTCCCTCGCTCTGTGCAGATATCACGTGGTCCTTTGCCACTACTAAGCTGGAAGGGCGGGGTCCTGCTCCTGGACTCCATAATGATACTTCTTCCGCCAGACGCAGAGTTTGGCGGTATTGAATATACAAGTAAAAAAGAAAAAAAGAAGAGAAAAGAAAAATGGAGGAGAAAGTCATTCAACTAATACTAGAAATACGGGAAGAAATGAGAGCCTGGCGAGAAAATACTGCCGCGGAGACGAGAATAACCCAACCTGTGGCGGCACAACAAAAAGAGGTCCCCACAATGATACCGGTCGTAGAACCTGAAGAAACAACATATACCAGAAAAGGGACGATGGCCTGCCAAGAAATGGAGGCACGTCTAGAAGAAAAAGAGCCGACCTCAGTGGACAGGAAACCTGAGGTGGCCAAACAAGAAGTCCCCAACGAAGATGCCGTAGTGAAACCGGTCACAGGACGGAAGAAGCGGTGTAGGGGCAAGATGCAAGCTGCAGGGCGACGTGGAGAGCCACTGGAACTAACCCGAGGAATGTGTGGATCCCGGATGAAGTTGGCTGCCGCCTGCAGGGAGGTGTCCCGCCGTGCAACAGTGGCATGGCGGAAGAGTAACATCTTCAAGAAATCTATGACCCAAGGAAATTGTGGACCGTGGCACAAATTGGCTGCTGACAGAAATATGAGTAGTCGTCAGGTGCGAGACAGCGCAAGGGAGATCCCGTAAAGAAATATTTACCTAGGGTCAATGCTGGATAAGAAGCCTGGAAAGGAAGGATGGGAACCGTGACAGGACAGGTGTCCGGGAGGAGGCGTCAGCCACAACGAAAATTCAGAAAAGGCACAAGGAACTGGGACGTGGAGGAAATGATACGCCTGAGGGAGAAGACCGGAAGGTTCGCGACACAAGTAGTCGCTATTTCCAACGGGATATGGAAAATAAGAAAGTGGACACTGAGGAGGGGTCGACCCCCTCCAAAACGGAAAAAAAAGGCCCGTATAGGAGGAACTGGTAGTAGAAACACCGGCCTCTTTAGCAGAAATGAAAGTGAAGAATAAATGCAATACAACTGGATTTTCTGGCAAATTGAAAGGAAACCGCTCGAGACAAGCAAGTCTTAAGAGGGGAGCGGATGTAATGGACGAAGAATAGTCACTGCAAGGAGGGCAGCCGAAACACCAGGAGACACAGAAAGCACATCCTTGGAAGGAAAGGAACAAGGGTGAACCGTTAGGATATTCGGGACGAACAGCCTTAAGGAGGGATGTGTTGCGCAATGGAGGACAAACCCTCACCCCACGAGCGGTGACGTAACACTTTCGGAGCATTGCCATTGCTACGGTAATTAGCCAGTCAACACCCCGCGGTGACGTAAACGGGATGCTGCCGTTGCTACACAGCAGGAAACAACTCCTGACAGTGTTGCTAGCAACACGGCGCCAGACAACAGTAGTGCCTATTACGTGGCTGTTTTCTGTGTTGTCCGGAACGAGGCTAAATAAGGAGCAGCAAAGACTATTCACAGTAAGTTCTCGAGTTACGAGTTCACGAGTTAGTTCTCTATTTCTCAAGCTACGAGTTATCCAGGCAGTCAACCTTTCAGTTGTAGTCTAGAATTTCAGTCTAATATTTTTAATACTGCAGATAGCAGTAATTGTAGATGTGTAAATTGTGTGATTGTAAGAGCGAATGTGAAATAAAATTTGCTATAGTCAATATGGCGTGAAGTTATCTGTCGTGTTATACACTCAACACGCGACAATATATTACTGTACTTGAACATTTTAAGCTATTAGCTGCTTATGTTTTTAAAATGCAGTTTATACTAAAATTTGCATTGTAGAATGCTGAGCGCATAGCAAGTGAAGGCAAGACAAAATATATTTTTGAGGATCATCAACCACAACTTTTGCAGAGAACAGCCAAAATTATCATCTGAAAGCAATATCATACTGGAATATAAGGTAACACCGTCCATTTTTCCAATGAGAAAATTTGGGGGAAAAAATTTCTTTGTCAAAACTGAATATGCAAGTTAGTTCTTAGGGCTGAAAGCAAAAGGAGCTAAAAACTATTCTACTACTTTTATAATAAATTCAAATGTAATGCCTTGCTTAAGTAGTGGCATTTAAATAAAAAACCTCAATTTGATTTGGTTCATAACGGTCCATCACACTAGCAATATTATAAAAGGTTATCAACTCTGTCCAGTGTGATTGACAAATTTTTTTCTCTTATTTCTCACATTTTCGCTTCAGTTAAATGGGATTCCGCAGAGTTATGTGGGTGCCCCAAAGCATTTTAAACAGCTTTATACTGAAAACGTTTTGTCAAGATCATTATCAGAATTAACTGGAGAACAGTCAGTTGAAATCAATGGTAAACCAAAAAATATTAATATAGAACTCCTATTTGCTATAGACTATTTGCGCCCAGAGGCAGATATTCCACGTTAGACACTACTCACCCACTCATGACCTGCCATACAGCTTACACTCACACAATGACCATCAACTCACTGCTATGGCAATCCTAAACTGCATAATTTCTGAAGTTTCAACTCACTGCTACAAAACTCTGTGTGTGCACGTTCACATGTGCACAGAGAGAGCATAAGAAACACCAATTTAAAGTTTTACGCTTTGCTGGGGTGTGTACACGTTACATCAGCTCAGCCCTCTTCTATACTTCTATGTATCACCTCTAATTCACTTACAACAGATCAGTCTGTCACATGCTAATTAAATAAGTCTAATAATGATGGCCCCCAGATATGACACAAGTAGTTTCTTACTATTCTGACCAGTTTAAAATCTGCCATGTAGAGATTCTATATACAGAGGGACCAACAAACCCCCTGCGCTTGCAACTGATAATACAGAATTTCTAAATATATCAGGGAGTGCACAGAAAACAAATTTTTATATTAATCACTTAACTTAATCAAAAGTTCATAATTGCCACAACAAAAGGGCATGATTACCATATAGTCAATCAGTTCATGTCACAGAAAAAAGAAAACTACTGCTACTAATACTAATCCCACTTGTCTGCATCTCTTAAGCTGTCCATAATCACGAAGTTCTCAACGAGAATTTCCTGTGCCTTCTCCCTCATGTGCCGAGACATTTCAATGCCTACAAAAAGCCGGTCTACTGGTAAGACAGAGCTACTATAATGCATACTGGAGTGGACTGAGGTTCTGCAGACTTGTCACTCTCTGCAACAGCTTGATCCATCTTAACCTCATCCTCCTGCTGCTCCACCTCCATCTTTTCATCTTCCTCCTTCCCCTTTTCCTTAATGCTCTCATCTTTTTTGGTTTTCTCTGCATTTTCTGGAGGATGCAGCTTCTTCTGCTGGCTTGGAGACTGCGCTGTCTGACACAGATGGTCCACAATTGCAGCAGCCTGAACAAACACACACAACTACAGTTGTTGTAAAACTGCTTAAGCACTGCAATATTAAAAATACACTGAAAGAGATTATATTAGAAATTCTAATGTTTGATTACCAGGGACCGGATTTTGATGACCTGAAAATATTTAAAAAATGACCAAAAAAAATCCAGAAAAATGACCCAAAAAATGTTAATATGCAGGGCCCGGATTTTGATGACCTGAAAATATTCAAAAAAGGACCTATAAAATGACCGAAAAATGACCTAAAGGAGAAACGAAAGAACACTTCGCTTCCATGTTATTCCCATTTCAGAAAACAAATGAAGAAAAATTCCATAAAATGGCCATAAATGACAAGAAATGCCCTTAAAAGTCCAAAAATTTACCCCAAAAATAAAAAAATGACCTTAAACCTAAAAATGTCAAAAAATAACTTATAAAATTTACATTTCTGTAACCAGCAGCTCATATCCGAGATTTATATATTTAAGAGTATCGCATAGGATACAAGGAAAAAAAGATGACATGTCATCAAAATCCGGGCCCTGTAGATTACTATATAACTGTACTGCCTCATGATCAATCCATTATAGAGCTTAAGTCCAACACCGTGTTCCTCAATATGTGCCACTCGATGCTCTACCCTGAACCTAGGGCTCAAACTTGTAAAGCTAGCAGTCAGGTCTTCCATTAGGTTCTGGAAAATGAGTGACAGGGCACCATGGAAGAGCCGGCCTCCTCCCAAGCAAAAGAAGAGACTACCAGCAGCTCACACGACAGTACCGTAGGAGCACTGGCCACTTTCAAAAGGTCTCTCCCCACAAACTGAAAGAAGACATGGCAATATGCCTATGGGCTACTTGGGACAAGCAGTCTTAAGGGCAGAGTAATGTGACATAATAACTAAAGGACTGTCCAATGTTAGGTCATGGCTCAATAAAGAAGTGAGCCATTGTTGGGCAAAGGCCAACAACAGAGAAGCCATGAAAACGGTGTTTTCTATGCAGTCTGACCCAAGGCTATATATATAGTGAGGTCAAGTGAGGCAACTTAGATAGTTGCAGCCATGAGTTAGCTGTGAGATGGTGACCAGCTTGCAACAATGTAAGAAAGAGTGTAGAAGAACCATTACCTAGCAATGCCTAAAAATACATAGAAGCTTCAATATTTGGAGCAGTCATCTGCAGCATGTGTGTAGATCTGTGGAGCTGTTACCTGCAGTTACAGGCTATGCAAGGCCAGTAAATCCAATCAGCAATCCAAACACAGTGTCCAGTCTTTAACATATGACAGCATTTATCTTAAAACTCTCTCCAATTTTCTTGTTTGTCATTTTCTCTCTTGTGGTTTTACCCCTCCATACTTTTACAAAACCTATCTCTGGTGCTGTTCATCTACTCACATCTGCCATGTTTCTGCTCCATACATTAATTTGAGGGCATCAGTTAGTAAGCTTTAAGTCTTTAGTATTTGATATTTCCAGAGTACATATCCAACTACTCAGTAAAATTATGACGTATTATTTTATTCCTTCCATAATACTTCCTTTCACTCCTCGATTTGTACTATTTTACTACCTCAGTGCAAGAACATTTCTCATTTCTTTATTTCACAATATTACATTTTGGTTTTTCTAACCTGTCTTCTCCATGTTCCACTTCCAAGCAATACAAACGCACAACAGAACTGTGAAATGCTCAGAAAAGATTCATGTAAATTATGTCCAGAGAAGAAGTTGGTATGAGGGAAAGAGAGTAATGGCGTCCGCAGCGAACTGTCGGACACACGATTTAGTCTCTGGCATAGGAAAGTAATTTGCAATGGAGACTGCTTCAAGATTACCACTTACTTTATCTTCTGAAATACTGGGGCAGCGATGCATAAGAGCAAACTGCATGTAGCAAGTGGAGCTGCAGAAATAAAGATCATCACCATTCTCCACCAAATCATCCTTGGCTAGAAAGGGCAGTTCTGACACCTTCTTGCGGATCAGGTTGCTCAATATCACCACATCACAGTGTCTACAGAACTTGGCGGCTCCATTCAGAATACTCTGGATGTCAATTGGAGCTGGAAATGACCATTAACAGACACAGTGTTTCTATATCAGTCGCATAACAGAAAGACAATAAAAAAATTATCAGAAAAATGTACCACCATGTTTCTCTGATCATGTACAAAAAAAACATTCTCGAAGAAGAGCCTTCAGCTGATACTTTCTATCATTTAATTATTTATGTTGGAACACTGGGGTGTGACTCACAAAACATCACGGTATCATTCTAGTTAACATTATGGTAGAAACATGACCATATTTTAAATAACCTACTGTGCTGTGTCCATACTGGTACTTTTACAAGTAAAATATCAGTTAGCTCCATTCCAAATTTATAGTTACTAAGAACACTTTGCATATCAGTTAGCTCCATTCATATGTTATTTCCTGCTACTGCAAAAACAGGAACAGGCAGACAAGACAAGAGCTTAACTGAAAACTTTACATCATATCTCACCTCCCTCTTTGCCATCTTTCCCTTTTGTGCGATACAACCCTAATTTCTGACTTGGTGGTGTGCTAGTTCTTTCCACTATCTGATATCCCGATGGGGCTGGGATACTCAGAATGTTGGCCAGGTTACGGAGAACACCAAGGATATCTTCTGCAGCAGCTGATGTTAGGGTCAGAGTCACTGTCACGTTGCCAGCATCACGAAGGGGAGCAGGCGGAGAAATGCCAAACCGTGTCTTCAGCTGGATGTGGTCACGTGACACACCAACATTCTCCTTATCCTGGATATAACAAAATAATGGGCTCAATGCACTGCGGTTGTCTCCACAGCCATATGGGGGAAACAAAGTATCTCCTGCTGACGCTATATCCGTAAGAATTTTTGCGGCTTATCCATGTGCATTAGGCCCAGGCAATGCCCACCAGATCTGCTAACACGAAAATTCAGTGAAACCCATCAATTAAAAGTTTCTTTTGGAAGTGGTGGACTTCAATGCTAAATTGAGGAAAATCCTAAACAGAACAAATTTTACAATGATATTACTGACTTCAGATAATTTAAACTGTATAATAAATATGGGAAAACCTTAAACTGATGAACATTAAATGGAGGTTTCACTGTACATGGCTCATACCAATCACATTACTGAGCTTAACATATGCTGCCACCTAGGAATGTGCTGAAATACTTTTCTGTCTCATTCTTTGTGACTGAAATATAGACTCATCAGCTGGCAGGCATGAATACTAACTGTATCAACAACGTAATGTATGACTACATGCCTTCTGAACATCTACAACCATACGCTATGATAACACAAGATGAATATGTAGAGAAGAGGGGGGTGAAAAGGCCTCTACCTGTAACTCAGGAATTAATTAAATAACTATATGGCATTGCTTTCTCCCTTAGCACCCACAATTATGTCAACAAGCTCATTGGGTATCATTCCTCCTTATACAAGAATTGGGGATTTCGAATCTTCCAGTACTAAAGATTTGGCAGCTACATTTTGAATCAAGATTTAACAGTTCATTGGTAAGGAATTAGCTAATTTCATGGAGCTAAGCCCTTCTCAAGAATCCACCAACTGTGTAGCCACTCAAGAACTTCCCAGAAATTTATAGAACTCAATGGTTCATTAATGTGTTCACAAGAGAACTCCACAGATCCCTATCCTGAGCCAGATTGATCCAGTCCATACCACCCCATCCTGTCTTTCTAAGATCCATTTTAATATCATCCACCCACATAGATCTTGGTTTTCTTAGTGGCCTCCTTCCATCTGGCTTTCCCACCAATGCACTATATGCATTCCTCTTCTCCCCCATTCATGCTACATGCCCTACACATCTCATCTTTCATGACTTGATTATTCTAATTATACTTGGAGAAGAGTACAAGTTATGAAGCTCCTCATTATGCAGTTTTCTCCAAACACCTGTCAATTCATCTCCCTTTGGTCCAAATATTCTCCTCAGCGCCCTCAGTCTGTGTTCCCCCCTTAATGTCAAGAGACCAAGTTTCACAGCCATACAGAACCAAAGGCATGTTAGCTATGAGTGTGTATATCTTGAAGAGGTCTACATTTTTTCTTTTTATTTAACTGAAGGGTCACACAGAGCACAGACGCAGTGCACATATCACTCTTTTCAGGTGAGGAAACATGAATGCACAGAGCTGATGCTCATGTATCATGTTAATCCCTCTACCAGCAAAACCTCCATTGAATTAGAAATATTGTGAAGCAAAACTGAAAAGCAGTGGCTATAAAGCATCTCCTTGTTTTAGACCATTCTGGATAGGAAAATTATAAGACAAATTATTACCTATAAAGACCTCATTATACATTTCATTTAAACACATTTTACTCAGCCCAACTAGTTTCACGGGTACCCCAAACTCTATGTGTATATTTCACAATACTTTCCTCCTAACTGAATTATGGGCTGAGGAGGAATACAGGATTTTAAATTTCCTCGCAGTACAGGGTGCTGATCAGAATTTGTACTTGGGGGGTTAAAAGCTTATCATTTGGTTTTAAATAACCCAGTAAACATGGTTTGCAGCTGATTTTAATTTTGTCATTAAGAGATTATCGCCCACAAATAAGGAATTTAAAATCTCCCAGTCCTATGGGGCTGGTAGCCATAACTTAACTCAAGGGATCTGACAGTAGAACTGAAAACAAAAATGCTTGGTCAGATGGATAAGTGATAATTCACAACTGCAATAATGTAGAGTTTAATTTTATGGACTGGACAACGCTACACTATCATCAGACGGAGATTTGCTGCTGAGAGTAAATAATTTCACTTACCACTTCATTGGTTTCTTTCAGAATCTGCATGCCTGGGCGGAGACGAATCGGTATTGGAGATATGATGGGAATGACGGGGGATGAGCGCTTGAGACATCTGGCTGCCTCCTCCTCCTTGTCAGAGTCCTCCTCTTCTATAAGCTTCAGACCTGAGTAAACATTGACAGAGAAGATTATACCAAACATTCTGACCTACAAATGAACAGTGCCATGACACTGTGACAGCTGCAATAAAAAGTTGGTCAACATTTGACACAATTCATCACCATACCTGGGAATCTGATGGGCAATTCAGGAATTACACATTCTGGTGATGATGAACTGATGACTGTGTCAGGAGTGTCATTATCTCGATCGCGGTTCCCAATGGATTGTCCATCCGGTTTTTTATCATCTGATAACATAAAATTTACAGTAAAACATTATTCACGTCTACAAAACTATAGAAATGGGTCACACTTGATGATTCAGAAGCTAAGGACTTCTGCAAACACAAGTGTTCCACCCATGTATTTCAACTATTCTAAAACTACCAGAAGACATGTCAAGATTGCAAACAGCAATGATGTAGCACTCAGGATGTAATTATATGGTGGCAAATATGTAGCTGGCAGCGGAAGTATTTGACAATGGACGTGTAAGGGACAACATGACAATGCTGGACATCTTCTAACATAAGATAGGATACGGTAAACTACGCAATGTACATAATTTACTGACTACAATGAATGAATGCATTTAAATTTACTTACACTGGACAGAACACTGAGTATATCTTCCATCTAACACAATAAACTTACAGGGCCACGTAATACAGGATACAAAATGAAACATGACGTAATATGAAACAGGAAATAGAGAAACAAAACTGAACCCTTATATGCTCAGCGCACCGATCCACTGGCACGTCAGGTAATGGCCAGAACACTCACTCAGGTGGCTGATCTAACTCTCACTCTTGTAGTTATAAAGTGGCTCAAAGGTGGCTGCACAAGATGGTGCCTAATTCTCCAAGGTCTATATCAGAGTTTTCACCCCAGATGGCATCCATTTCCTTACAAGAAATTTCTTTTTGAGATAAATTAAATATGTTGCAGTTACATGTCTACTTAGCGGTCAATACTTTCTTGGTCTGTGGTTTCAGTTCTTTTAATGTGAATATATCATAGTTTAATGGTGGTAATTTGCTTTTATAATAAAGTTATATACATAGGAACCTGAAATCATTGTTTTCATCAGGGGGTCCTAAAAAGATGATAGATGCGGGGGCCTACATAAAATGAATAGAAACCATCCTATTTGCCTATATGTATTTACTAAATCTAAAAACATACACCAATAATATTATTTCCACTGTCAAGTCTAACTTGCATTATTACACTATTAAGTCACAGTGCATACCAGTCTTATTATTATTATTATTATTATTGGAGGGGGTGGGTTTCCCCATGCACTGCGACTAATAGTCTATTGTACGTCCCCTTTGACATTCTACCAGTTGCCATACCTTGCCAGTACTGGTGCTCGCTATCAGCCCCGTTCAGCCAACAAGGCTGGCAGTGGTACCCGATAACTTCCCGATCTACCGGAGGCATTGGAAACTACTTGGGCGGGAAACTTTACCTAACTTTGCTCAGAGGTCTCCTAGAGACATGAGGATCTTTTACATGCCGTAAATCTACGACATGGGACCCATGGCTTAAAGTTCCTCCCAGAGGACTTGTTCCCCAAATTTTTCCACCCTTAAAAATTCCACAACCTCCGCCGGGTTTGACCCCACATACCTTGGGTCATGAGTTGAAAACGTTACCCCTAGACTACTGAGGCCACTGCATACCAGTCTTATTACAAAACCGCACTGAACATTAGTTACAGTATAAGATCATACTCAACACTCACCGTCATTTTCAAGTTTCAGTGCTGCAAACTCCTGATCATAAAAACCTCTCTGAGTGGAAACTGGGGGATGTGGTGGTAGTGGAGGGAGATCGCCAAATGGCTGCGTGTTGTAGTGATCTGACACATGTGCCAGATAAGCGCCACCAAATGTACCCTTCAGGTCACCCTGCCGTGTTGAGTAATCCCGTGTCATACCAATTTTGGCCAAATCACCAGAACCAAAGATGGAGCAAACTGCATAATTTCTTGACAAAGCTGGCTCCAAGACACTCATAGGTTGAAGCTGCCGTAACTGCGCCATCAGATTCTCAATGTATGTGTCATAATCTTCATCCACTTTGGAACCCTGAGCAGAATAAAATAATATCAAAATCCACTAATAAAAAGTTTGCACCAATAATCATCACTTGTTTCTCTGTTTCCATGTCACCATCACATGCAGGAATAACTGTTAAAATCATCATACATAATGTTGTGTCAAGTTTAACTGTACTGAAACACACAAAGTATCTGTAAAGCTCCTACCCCATTTTAGATCACTCCAATGTCTGCTTCTGGACATTAAATTATAATGAAGAAACATCAGAAGCCACATGAAATAAAAAAACATGCTTCTTTTCTGACCAGATCAAAAAAAAATCTTCTAGCCAACTACTGAAATATAAAAAATGTTTGCGAGCTTCTGCAGCATGTTTTCAATTCCACAGCTATGAAGAGCAATGTTGTTTACAATCCTGGCAATCCTCTCAAATTACCAATAATGTCTATCTTCTATGAGCAAAGGAAATTATTATCTGGCTAGAAAATTCTACACAGAATTTTTGGTCATGAAGTCCCTATCACCACATCTTTACACATCTTCTGGGCACAAGGAAATACTTCTGTTCTTAACTTTTTACATGGTGAACTTAAACAATCCATTTCTGCATAATTTCAAATTACCTTTCTTAACATTTCTTATAAACTGCAGCAGTTTCATTACTCAATCATATCTTATGATGATATAAGATTTGCACTGAATCAGTCTCCCCCTCCCCCAAATAATTTCTTGTTCTTTGTACTTTTTCCTCAACAAAACGTTTTCACCACTTTTCTACAGAAACACATGTTCAAAACGCTGTCTTAATTTCGAATTCAATGTCTCACCTCTTCCCTTCTTTCAGGGCTGATCTTTACAGAGGGAGTACCTTCTGGTTCATACATGAATTGTATATATTCAGTGTAACATTCCACGTAACCTCAAGATGTTGTGAAATAATTTAATATAGTTAACAGCTCTCTCAAACTAGAAATTCTAGGTTGTGTTTCCCATCTACATTATATCTAACCTCTAGTGAATGCTAAATGCAGTGGGACATGGCTTCTCAATGCTATATACATCTTTGTGTCTACACTTACTAATCTGTCATAGCATTTATTTTATTTTACAACTGTACCTCACCTTCTGAATTAGTCTGTAAGAGCTTCAAGGGCTGCGAATTAATGCAGGCAGACTTATGACTGCTGGCCTAATATTCCCAGTATCCAAGTTGAACAGGAATTAAATAAATACATAAAAATTAAAACTGCTGCCATATTCATCACCAGGAACAGCAAATTTCTTAACAATTCAAACATGTCACTTTAGTTTGCTTTATTTAAAGACATAAAACAGGAATCATAACAGATGTAACATAAATTCAATTTCTTTAAATTATACACTAAGAGCCAATCAAAACAAATAATACAAAGTTAATGAATTATTGCAAATTTCAAGATGATTATAACCTTCCCAGTCTCTCTTGTTGCCCTGAGCAAGCAAAGCAGTTGACTGTGTGACTTGAAATAGCAGGTCTCTCCTACATTACAACTGTACTCCACCAGATGGCAGTCACAGCTCCCAAAGATGTCCCACCTAACCTACACAAAGTCTCGGTCATGGTTCTTTCTTACTCGTGTCCAGAGTTAACAGGATTTTAAAAGCCACTCTACTACTAAATGGGCAACATTCTTCCTTGATGTTTCAAAACTAAAATGTCAACATACACATTCATGGTTCCTAACATGATGTGAAGCATGAGTGTCCTCATCAGATACGAGGCAAGAAATGTAACCACAGAAACAGAACACAAAAGGAAGGATTCTATTCTGTAATATTTAACTGCAGCAGCATTCAGTATCATTATGGGTCTGACGTTTACACATCATTTAGCATTCAAAGAGATGTTGCTACTTTGGAAACTGGAGCTGTTCCCACCCCCAGGCTACGGCACCTACTCAGCTGGGTCTGTTACAAAAAAATAATCTCAATCCCTTGACCTGGAGGTCCTCCCCCACAATTTCTTACCAGAGAATAGGAAAGGATCCAGTTTCTGAAACACTGTGTTCTGACTACTGGGGAAAAGCCAAAAACCCTGTAATATCATCCACCCTCATTCAGCAGTAACATGTGTTCCTCCTAGGAATTACCAACTGTACCACCAGCTGGTGTCAGTGAGGCTGCCTTCTCTGTGGCATCAGTTACCAGACTGATAACCAAAACTTTTGCCCTGAGTAAATGTTTCTTCTTAGCCTGCTGCAATTGCAAGCTCGGTGAATACCCACTGATCACTCTCCTGCAGGTGACCTGGTATCTGTGCCTTGGATGCTTATACAAGTTGTAATATTTGACCCTTCTGACCACAGAAGAGAGATGCAACACTGCTTTAGCAAAATGGATTTCATCTAGCACTCACTGTAGAAGCAGAGGATTTATTTTCTGGATGACAAATGTGAAATACTACAAAACCACATATCTCTTGCTTCGTGCTGAAACTATCAAACTACACACAGAAAACACATGTAACTCTGCTGTTCATGCCGATGGACCAAATTCCATCACAAACCATTTATTATTGATAAAATCAGTTTTGTAATTTGCAAATTTTTATATCAAACAGAGCATTCATTCACAGACTCTTAAATTCCTAAAGCGACTTTGGAGTTCAGTGACATAAGAATAACACACCCAGCTAAAGTCATACATTCAAAGTAGCTGCAGACATTACTTCAGAGCCTCTGCCGCTGCAAGCAGCTGTACCAACATAAAGAGATGAAAAGGGTGGTGAGAAAAATAAAGCCAAACAAAAGAAAACCAGAAAACAGGAATACTCACACTGACCTTCCGAATGCGTTGCTTCTTGGGTGTTCCTCCGCTGGCAGCAGGCTCTTTTCCTTGGCTCTGTCGTCTCTTTTGTTGGTACAAGCGTCTTTTAATTTTCTTTATATCTGCAAATACAAACAGGTGAATACAGGAAGCAATGAATAAAGAACGCCATGTTTACTGAGATATAATTCAATTTTCCCTATCACTCTCAGAACAATTATAAGGAACTTCCTTCTCTTGTCATATGCAATGAAGCCCTTTGACACATACTATGAATTTTATCATACACAGAAAGACATTATATTCCGGAAACAATTTCACTGCTTATATATGGACATGAATTATACACAGGGAACCATGCAATAAGACTTCAATGTAGATGGGAGTGGGTAGGAAGGTACCCACAAGGCTGTGGTGGCAACAACATCCACAGTACATGCTTCATATAAACGTACATTCAACAACAGCCACATAAAAAACACTTGCATGGAGAAATTTGTTACATTCTCTTCCTACAGCCAAAGTATTGACACTGTCATAAATGTCTCTACTTGTGCCTTATTATCTGCATAAACGTGGTCATGTTTTACTGTTTTCAGAACAATGGTCTGATTTTATTTAATAATATCATATTTACTGATTCTGTATCTCAGCATCCCATTGCAATTGTTCAACTTAACGTCCATTATTTATTGTCCATCAATACTGCAACACTCTTCCATACACTCCTCAATCTTTAGTTTAACATTATACACCTCGACACTACATGTTTCGGCTCCAAAATACCATCTTCAGGTGTCTTGATATGTTAGAATTATTTTTTTTTCAATTTGTGTTAAAACTGCTACTCTGTCTTAGCTTGTGTTAAAATCACATGCTGTGGTTCTCTTTTCAAGGTAAAACAAGATAAAATCTTTTAAAGTTTCTGTTATACTCACTTTATTTTGGTGCATATTATTTCACCTCACATGGGGTGTCATCCATTTTCATAAATGTATGTCTGTCCAGAGTGTTTTGTCTCGGGAGCTTGCCCCTCACGTTCATAGCCTACTTTTCAGTTATGACTGCCATATGCCCTTGGTTTGCGTGTTTCCTCCACAGCGTGTGGTGATGTCTTTACTAGTCCTAAAAATTGAGTGTTGCAATATTGACAGACAATAAATAATGGACATCATATTTACTATTAAAGGGCATGGGGTAGCATAGTTGATTAGGACACTATGCTACAGGCCAAAAGGTCCTGAATTCGATTCCCAACAAGGACACTGGATTTTTTCAATTTATCTAATCCTTCCAGTCACACGACGGCTCCGGATCGAATTGGCCTCTAACAGAATTGAGTACCAGGAATATTCCTAGGGGGTAAAGGGCAGCCAGCACATAAGGCTTACAATCTTGCCGCCATCTGAGCCGACTGTCTAGCAGATGTGGGAGCCTTGACATCCCACAACCCTATGGGCCTTCATGGCGTGTTACAGGGATAACTTTTAACTATTACATTCACATACCCAAAGCTGCCTGATCCTGTGTTGTCTTGTCACAGGCTGTTTCCATTCCCATATCACCAGTCTCATCCCTTGACGGGAGCTCTGTCTTGGCATGAAATTCTTTCTTCTCACTTGGCAACTGCACTGATGAATCATCAGATACAATCTCCTTCTTCACATCACCAGATGGCATGGGAAGTACTGGACTTTGCTGTGGAGGAGCAATTTCTTTCTTTACCGTCACACCATTGGGCGATGTTAAAGGGGAAGGTGTGTGGAGGTTAGAGTCAGCTCCACTAGCACAGGACCTTGGGGTTGTTGGAGTGGGAGGAGAAAGGAGGTCCTCCCTACTTGGTGTGCGGCTTGGAGGACCCAGTCTCCTGTCATTGATAGCAGTTTGCTGTACCTGGCACACAACAGAGATGGATGGAGAAGCAGCAACTTGTGGAGGGGGTCGTGAAACAAAGGATGTTTCACGTGTTAACGGCAATGGTCGTGGTGTCTGTGCATTCTTTGGAGGTTGTGACTGAGGACTATCATTTGTAAGAAGTGGTGGTAGAAGAGAGGTTGGTGTGGGTGGGACAGGTCTTGCTAGTTGAGCTTCCAACGAAGGTACCACAGGCAAACTGGGAGCACTATGGTGCTGAGTTGCTATGGTTGTTTGCTGTGCACAGCCAGTGTTTTGGAGGAGCTGTTTCAATAATACATTCTGTGACTCCTCTATTCTGTGTGGTAATGACAGTATCGGGGCTTGTTGTGGAGGCTGCAACACTGCTTGTGTTGTTGATGCAAATTTACAGCTGCTGACCAAATGCTGTATCTCATTCTTTGGTACTAAAGAAGCAACTGATGACTGAGAAACAATTATGGATGAAGTTGCAAGAGGTTTCGAAACTGCTGTAACAACAGAACTAGACTGATGCTGCTGTTGCATCACAAAACATGCGGCAGGAACTGGTGTATCCTTAAACAGACATGAATCCAAGGTTTCAGTCTTAACTGTTGCTGCTAAATGCTGAAACTGGCATGATCTTACTGGCTCCTCTACCTTAATTTCGCCAGTACTCATTCTTCTCTGAGGCTGCATGACCGTGGAAAACACACAAGATGACTGAATTCTTGGTGGTGCAGAACTTGCATATGGATACCCCTGTGTTGTACATTTTGAAGTATCCACAGTCCCACTCTCCCTAGAACCTGTTGCGGATTCACTGGAAACTGACAGAATTACATCTGCACCAAGTCTCCCTGAAACTGATGTTACTACTGGTTCCTGCGTTTGAATGTGTGCTGCATCAGTTCTGCCAATTCCTCCATATGTTGTAGCATGTTGGACTCCTGATGACTGTGACTGCAGCAGTGTTGATGCCAGAACACTACTGCCCACAGACTGGACTGGCAACGTTTCTAACCTGCTCTGTGCAAACTGTTCTGCTAGCACTGATGGTGCTTGGACATTCCCACTGTCTTGTGGTGGCAGTTGGGCGGCAGACAGTGCCATCAGCTGTGGAGACTGGCTCTTTACAACAGGAGACGTTACTGATGCTGCTTGCTGCTGTGTGTAGGTCGCATGCTGCCTCACAGATTGCCCTGCAGACACAACAGATGAGAATCTGCTACTTGGCGGTGAAATCCTAGGAGTTGTGACAACAGACGGGCTAACTGCCGACACATGGACAGGTGCTGCTGCAATTTTTCCCACCGTGTGAGAACCTAGAATTCTCTTCGGAGCCTCAGGTCGCTGAGGTCCACTTGTTAGTCTGTTCTCCAACATAGACTGGCCACACAATGCTGCACCAGAAGATGTCGTTTCTGCAAGAGGCTTCATCCCTGTATCAGTGGCAGGCGTTGCAAATGTACTCTGAGGTGGTTGACTGAATACTGCTGATGTTACTGGCGCATCTGCATCAACAGTAAGTGTTCGGCTGGGGACAGCTGAATCAACTGCCTCTAATGGCAGTTTCAAATTTGTACTATGTTGTATTTGTGAAGCAGACAACCTATTCTGTGAATCTGTTGCACTGGTTTGCATTTGGATTTTTGAAGACTTATCACTGTCATCACAACGCAGACTTGATTGTTCACTCTGATTAGGTTCTGTAACCAAGTTTGATGACAAAGGCAAAGGGTATGGTTTGCTTGGTGGTAATGAATACTGAATAGATGAAGCTGTGGGAAATTCCTTCTTATGCTCAGACACTGCATGGCACTGCTGTCTTTCGGATGAAGACCCACCTTCACTCACGATGACTGACGTGACTGGTTTGCTGCTGTGCTGCCAAGGACTACTGCCTTCTTGCTGTTCTACCGTCGCAAGCACACTAGGTCTCGTATCTTGAAAAATTAGCTGCACTGTTTTCATCAGTATTTCATCATCGTCATCATCATCAAGAGGCTTCCGAATCACTGGCATAGAGGAGAGTTCAGCTTCCAGCGGTTGTAATGGTGGTTCATTTATCAAATTTTGGCTTGTGGTTCCCATCGCACTCGCTCTAGTTATCTGAGACAGTTTACATGAGGTGCCATCCAACATTCCTGTACCTTGTTTCTGAAAATCTGTTGTTTCTGAAGCTGAATATTTACTTGAGGTAATATCAACACCTTTTCCCTTAACTTTTGCTTGGATGGTGCCATGTGATGATTTCTCAACTCCACAGTTCTGATTCTCATGAGATGACTTATTAATGTCCATTACGGGAATACTGGAAGAATTTGTTTCAACAGTGACAGGAACAAAAAGGGAACTTGTGACTGGAACAGTAGACATTCTGGGTGGCGGAACCAAAGATGCAGCAGCTGCATTTCCACCTCCTGCACTTGCTATCACACTAACACCAGCCGGTGATACAGTCATTAGAGGCATCACACCTGCAGTTGTAGGGAACAACTGCTGCCCAACTGAAGCTGGTGGGTATGGCAAACGTGCAGCATTCACTGCATCTGCAACCAGATTTGCCACTGCAGCTGAAGTCAGATGAGAACTAGTTACAGTTGAAGCAATTGCATTACTGATAATAGACATTGTAGTCGAAATGTCACCACTCTGTGACCTGATTATGCAAACTGGTAGAGCTGAGCTTCCAGCAGCACCCTGGAGAATTGATGTCCTCTGAGGTGATGAAGATTTAATTATAGAAAAAGTAGGTGGAGCTCCAATTACATTGTGCTGCATGGGGCCAGCTGCTGCTGAACATTCTGATACAATTAACCCAGCTGCTGTTGTTCCTTTGACCTCTGCACCCTGGGTCACAACAGCAGACAATATGGTTGCAGTTTCCTGAAATTTCTCTTCAGCTGCAGTTACTGGGGATGCTTCCACACGTGAAATTCCCTCTGAGGATGTGAACTCTGAATCAAGAGCAAATGACATGATACGTGGAACTGACACCACTGAAGAGACAACAGATGTAACTTGTCTTGTGACTCCAGAAGTTATCACGGTTCCAGTTGTCTCGCTAGCAGTGGACTGTTCTTCAGTCAAGAGATGCAGGTCTCTGGCGTAAGCTGGCTGGCTTGGGAATGTAGGATAGGCAACAACTGCTCTTGCGGAACCAGGTATCCCAATGTTTGCTTGATGGACACTTGAAGGTGGAAGTTGTGTCACTGGCGGCAAATCAAATGGAAGGTCTGGTTTCACAGCCTCTTCACAAGAGCCAACTTGCCTTGAACTGTCCTCGAGTGCATCCATGTTAGCTTGGCAGCTGACGACACTGCATGTCACAGGCAATTCAGCACTACTGGTAACATTCATTTCAAGTGCTTCAGTTCGACTGCTGTCATTCTCCATTTCAGTTCTACTCGCCTCATCCAGTTCCATCATATCTGTATCATCAGGTATCATAGGCATCATATCATCTTCATCATCTTTAATTGTGTCAGGTGTTGGCAGATATGGCTCTGGTGATGGATCTACATTCATTTCTTCTTGATCTGGAGATTCTGGTGTATCTGTGATTGCAACAATCTTCTCCTGCTCAAGAGGACCAAGACTTCGAACAATACCTATCCTTAGTCTCTCACTCATTGCATGAATTTCCCTGCATCCTTCAGGCATGTCCAGGACTGGGTCTCTATCCAGCACTCCCGTCACCCTTGTGTCCAGGATATGCATGACGTCCATATCCATATTCGGAAGATCATCGCTTCCTCCAGCAAGTTCAATTCTTTCGAGTCCATCATGTACATCACCTGTTTCCATCATGTTCCCTGTTTCTGCTTTAGTTTCCTCATCAACCAGATGGAGGACTTCATCATCGTCCTTCTGAATGCAGGACGTCAGTTTATCACAGCCTTCCATAGCATCAACTACTGAGATGTCCATGACAATGTCAGAGGATGTTACAATACATTCCTCGATTATATCCGTGTCTATTGAGCTGGAAACTTGGGCAAGATCGCTTTCAGACAGATGTTCAAAAACGACAACATTGTCACAGTCTGTTTCCTCTATTCCTACAGATCCAACTGGTAACTCTGAGGAATCCAAAATATCCTCCTGCGATATGACTGCAACCTCTATCTCTTCACTGCATTTTTCTTCGACCAGTTCTCTGGTACTATTACTGCTTTCTATTTCTATTTCAGCTTGGACTTCAGGTTTGTCACCTGGTGATGCATCTGATTTTTCACTGCAGGGTACATCTTGTTCACATATGCTTTTAACTACATCTGACAGGTTTTCTTTCTTGTCATCAACAGCTGATGAACTTGAAGGTACACACACCCTATCATCTTGAGGAGGAGGCGTCAGAGGTGGAGTATGAGAATTCTCATCGTCAAAATCATTGTAATCAACACATACAAGAGATGCTACCTTGGATACAACTGCAACAGTCTTGCCTGGTGTCATGACGGCACCTCTGGTCTCTCTGGCAGAACTGCAAGATGGCCGAGTATTTGTACTTTCTGTCTGATGCTCACCTTTTGGCCCAGTTGAGCCTTCTCCCGCATCTTTCTCTCGGTGGTGCCCACCGCTGTTCCTGCTTTCATCATTAGATTTAGAGCCACCATGCCTTCCTCCCCTTGCAAAGCCAGCCCCAACAGACCAGATGGGTGATCCACCCCGAAGTCCAAGCTTAAAGTATCCAAACCTTCCAAACATTGCTGGCAATGGTATGGGATTTGCTGGATTATTTGGATTTCCACCACCACCACCACCACCACCTCCAACAGCGTCATTATCCTGACTGGACTCCCCTCCAGGCTGGTTACTCTGAGGTGTGTAAGGCGTGTGTGGAGTGTGAGGTGTTCGTGGTGTTGAGGGATTCTCAACACTCTGTGGCCTATCTGGCAACACTGGACTGTTACTGACACTTCCTGTGCTTGAAGGCTGCCTCATCTGCATTGGTGAACCAACCGAGTGTGGATACTGGACCATGGGACTCCGAAGGACTGGCGAACTTGGTGGCTGATTCTGGCTCATCTGATACTGCTGCTGAAGCACTGGACTGCATGGTGGCATCGGTGAACTTGGTGGCTGAGTTTGGTTCATCTGAGAAAGCATTGGGGAACTGGGTGTTTGACTCTGATTCAATGACTGAACCATGGGACTTCTGGGAGGCATTGGGGAACTTGGGTGAGCATTTGCATTAGATTGATGAACCATTGGAGAGCTTGGGGGTTGGTTCTGACCAACCATTGGACTCCTTGGTGTCATTGGAGAGGTTGGTGGTTGATTCTGTTGTTGTTGTTGTCTTTGTTGTGCCAATTGCTGATGCTGCAGTATCTGCTGTCTCTGCTGCTGCTGCTGGATGATCTGTCGCTGCTGGACCAACTGCTGCTGCTGCCTCTGAGCTAGCAGAAGATTTGCATCTTGATCTTGTGGCGGGGACACCTGCTGAATCTGCCGCACAACCATCTGAGCAGACACACTTGCTTGCTGGATCTGTCCAGCTTGTGATGGAGTTTGTTGAAACTGCTGCTGACCCACAACATTTGACATGATGGGCTGCGGACTGCCCAGAGGAGAAGGGGAAGCAGAACTTGAGTATACAACACCAGCTCTCAGATTCTGAGTAGAAGATGGCTGAGAGTACATAACACCACTTGGTCCAGTCTGTCCTGGTCCTTGAATAGGCAGACCACGAGTTCGTTGAAGACCTGGCTCAGAATTTCCTCCCATTGGAGAGCGAACAAATCGTGGAAGCACACCATGGATCCTAAAAAATAAAAAGAATACATATGATGCTCAATACAACTGCAAAATACTGTCATGAATTAGAGTGTGACTACAGATGTAGTTTGGATTGGTGACTGCATTTATTGACCACTTATACACATGACTTCGAACTACAAGCAATTACAGTGCCACTGCTAATCTCCATGATTCACACATTACCACAGCACCCACTAAGCCTTTTTCTAGCCTGATGCATCTTCAGCCAGCCATTTCCTGGTAATGGCTTCTAACAGTGGAGATTCTGAAGCTTCACATGCTCAGGTCCTCTCTTCACAGCCTCCTATACAGAACTCACTAGCCTGACTGCAACATCTCAGCATGGGCCACATAGAAGACAGTTCTTATATTGTTGCATGCTGCTGTTTACAGACAGGTCTATATGCCAAACTATCATGGGGAGGAAAGTGAGAAGGCATCCGGATATCACTGCATACACACTTGTAAATGATGAACACAATTCATTTAACAGGACATGATTATCCCACACACTTTAATGTCAGTTCCCACAGAAGCTTTACAAAATACATGACCACTGGTATTGTGTGCTAACTTACTTCTAACAATGAACACAGTCCACTCTGTCACAAACAGTTCTGTGGTTTACTCACCTGTCAGATTTCTCAGATTCTCTGTTAACTGTATCTCACAAATTCTGAGAACTCAAAGACTAAGCGTTACCTAATTTGTTCTCCGCCTGAGAACTGTTGCTGGCTGGCTCTATGATCTCCTGTGTAAGAAACAGGACTTGTAACTCGACGTCCCATGCCCTGCGGTGTGGAAACTCCCATCCGATGTTGAGGTGAGGTCATACGTGGAGCACCGAGGCCTTGAGGTGAGGTGAGCCGGCCTGCAGGAGGTGGACACACTTGCTGCGGAGAGGGGAGAGAACGCAGCAACTCCTGGGGTGTGCCTGGACTGAATGGACTTTCCTCGCTCTGCACAACAAGGATCCAATGTAACTAAGCTACTGCCCTACAGAAACTCCCAACACTCCATGTTTCAACACATCTGTTCAAGTTGAGGCTTGTGTAACACTTCACAGCATGTTCAAGAGTTCTTAGCATACACTCCAAACTGGGGATCCACCCCCTGTTGACTGTCTGCAAATCCTTATTCAACGCATCTGCAGTTATGCTACATACCTAGAGGCAATCTTTTCAAGCTGTCACCTGAGGATGTGCACACTGTGCTGAGTAGGGACCAACTTAACATGGATACTGCAAGCAGGACAGTGACTAACCAAAGGGAAGCTACAGCCAAAACCTAATTAACATATACAGAAACATAAACCTTTCTGCTTCCTACTGCAGACATTATGAAATTTACTGTTTATTCTTACCAACATGTGAGCTGGCCATGGCCAGTAAAGTGGTCTACAAGCAGTTTCTGTATGTGATTTAAATCTTCCTTCCAAATATTCTTGAATTATTTGAGTAAACTTAATTTCTTAGTTTCTGTGTTATTCCTGCTTTCAGTTTCAGCTACTACACAGGCAGGCAATGAGTGTGTGCCAGTGCTTGTGATATGCATAACACATAAGTACATTTCACAGGCTTATGTGGTACCATCACATGCTTCCTTTGAGCCAATCCCTTCTTTCTGGTCTTCTGGGAATAGCGCATTCTCTCCTTCCCAGGCATCTTGTGTGACAACATGTAACACTCTCTTTTGGTTTGAGTGTGGCTGTGATTTTGTGGATCACAGTTTTGGACTCATGTTCGCTGGACATCTCTGGAACTGGGGGACCGATGTCACACAGCTGAAAGTTCTCTGCATATATTTGTCGTATGCATGAATAGAGTTGTGTTGTCAATGTTATTGTGCCATGTTGTTGGACACAGTGCATTCAACTGTGTTTGTGCATGTGTGTGTGTGTGTGTGTGTGTGTGTGTGTGTGTGAGGTCTCTGAATCCTGTGTTGGGCACCTGCCTTGTTCTCTAGCTGGCATTCAGACACCCTGCCCATCGGGAGAGCATTTACATACAACCACACAGTGGTCAGTTTGTTATGTTGGTTGAACAGAGTGCCACTCAAAATAATGACAGTAATATGCAGGACCAGTACCTGTGAGTGTGGTGTGCCCATTCGAGGGGAAGCCTGCAAGCTGTGTGGAGACATACAGCTGCTGCTACTAGGCCCTGTGTTGCCTGGACTATGTTGCAACATGGATCCTGGTCCTGGGCTGTGTGACAGGAGAGGTCCTGGGCTGTGAAGCGGTGATGAATGCTGTTGCATCATGGGAGAAGGAGATGGTGACATCATGGGTGACTGAGGGGCAGAAGGGTGGTGAACAGGCGAAGAGGAGGGAGGTCCAAGAGGCGAGTGAATAACTAATGGCTGCTGTTGTGGAGCACTTGAACCAAGACCAGGTGGACCTATCAGGAGGCCTGGAGGGCCAACACTTCCAGGACCTTGTTGCTGGCGCTGTTTCTGTTGCTGTTTGTTGCGGTACTCCTGCAAGCAACAAGCGCAAACATATTCTTTCAATTCTGAATGTTACTTAATCATTAGTATCAATCAAGAGAGATATAGATAATGTTGCATGGAACATAAAAACAAAGAAACAAAATCCGTGATTTTAGCCCGCAAGTGAACTATACTGACCGAACGACTGCCGCTTGTGGGCGAAGTTTAGTGTGGATAGATGGTGTCGTATGGTCAGCGCAACGAATCCCCATGGCCGTTAATTTCGGTTTTCTAGACCGGAGCCACTATTTCCTTGAAATAGCTCCTCAATTATCATCACGAGGCTGAGTGGACCCCATTCCAGACCCACTATTTCTCAGAAAAAATCTGGTAGCGCCGGAAATCGAACCCGGACCTCTGGATCTGTAGGCAGGAACGCTGACCACTAGACCCCAGAGGCAGTCGTTGCATGGGACACAAAAATATTTATTGCTTCTTAGAAAACAGGGGTCACCTTATTTTGAGGTCCTTAACAACACATGCAAAGATGATGGGCATTTCGAATTGCTAATTCTAACAATACCTGTGGAAATACCTATAATTATATTTAAGGTATTAAATTTTGTATTACTACTTAATGGGGAGCCGGGACAGCGCAGTCGCTATGACTGACTGACTATGGGCCCGATGGCCGAGGTTCAGAGTTTGAGTCCTGGTAGGGTCAAGAATTTTATCTTCTCCACGTTGTCTAGACCAGCTCTGGGGCCGACCCAGCCTCCGATCCAAAGGATACCAGGAGCTCTTTCCTCAGGAGTAAAGCGGCCAGGGCATGAAGCTGACCGCTCTCCTCCAGTTAATGCCAAGGTCAAAAAAATGTGGATGCATACATCCACTCCCCCATACATGTTCACTGTGGAGTGCTTATTTTTTATTATTTTTTTTTGCTTACAACCCTCAGAACAACATGATATATCCAATTTCATAAAAAACAAAAATTCTGTTTCCTGATTTTCTCACTGGAAAAACAGGGAGTTACCTTATATTTGGGCATAAAAATTATACAGGCCTAATGTCACATTAATGCAGTGCTTTACTGTGTAATAAACACAATTAAAATAAGTTCAATATCCAAAATTTGTACTGCAACCATCTGTGCCACAAACAGGTAATCACACTGGTACTTTCAGATTAAATTTCATGCTGTGCCATTATAAAAACAGACAAAAATGATTTATACTATCATTCTGTCTGTTTTACAATGGTTCTGCCCTTACACAACTATATTTCATTCCAAAACAGAATATAGTATGAGATAAACTCTCTCCCCCAATGAAACAAGTGAAATGGCATTCAGAGGATGTCTGATACCTACTAAACCAGAAAAGCTCCAATATTAAGTAGTAAAAACTGCCCTTACAATAAATTAATTGCTGGCAACCACTGAATTTGAATGCCTGAGGGAGAAAATGGAATGTTTTTACATTGATTACATCACTGCTATATTTTCTACATGCTGGGCTAGTTTCCACTGCTGGTTTCTAAGCTCTTCATCATTTATGCAGAGCATATGGCTAGTATATGTCGTAGTACCCAAAAGCTTGTTGATGGTTCCACAGGTGACATGCACCTCACATTTTGTAATCAAAGTGTAAAAATACTCAAGTACTTAAGACAGAAAAATATCCTCAGCTGCAGTGTGAGAATTAATTTCAGTCCACTAATACAGTAAACCCTCAAAAATTCAGTTACAGTTATTCCAGACCGAAAAATGAACAATTCTGTTCATAACTGAGTACATACTTCAAAAGACATATGGTATTAGGGGCAAGAGGGATTAGAGGAAGAGGACTTTCAGACTGTGTTGAGGGCAGCTTGAGAGACTGAAAACGCGCAAGGAAATATCCAAGACTGCCTTCAGACTCTGCCTGTTAGTAGCACTGTTTTCGTTCTGCGTATATAGGCCATAAAAATATATAGTGAGAGGGAAATAAAAAACGGGATGCGTCGTGAACGGAAGTACAGTGTGTGAATGAAGAGTATATTAATGCAACAGCATGCTTAAATACAATATTATCCTCCCACCTATGCCCAAATCTCCCGAATGGCTTCTTCCCTTCAGGAATTCTGAAGAATAATAGTTACAGACTTCAAACAAACTGTATATCAACGAAACACACCATCCTTAAAATTATACATGGTACAGAATATCCAAAAAGTCACTAGACACAGGAAAGGAAAAGAGAGAGAAGACTGCATTAAGGAAACAAAACATCAAGACTGAAGCTCGTACTTGCCGTTCGTCTTTATGCTTCGTCTGGTAAAGCTAGAAGAATGAAAACATACCGAATGTTAGACTGTATTCTTTTCCTCTACTGCTGGTAACTTTTTGGACAGACATCAGCATTCATTGTTTAATTCAAAGCTTGAAGCAACAAACTTACCAGACTTCAGTGAATACACACTGAAACATATCTGAGCCACTGAATGCTACCACTCTGCCATAGAAACAACAAAAATGCAGTCAGAAATTACAAATTATAAAATTCTTGTGCTCATAAACATGAAAAGCTAAAGGTGTCCCTGTCCCTGTAACAGGCCGTGAAGACCCATAGGGATGTCAGAGGTCAAGGCTCCCACATTTTCTAGACAATTGGCTCACAGATGGCAACAAGGTTGTCAGCCTTGTGCAACGGCCACCCTTTACCCCCCCCCCCAGGAATCTTCCTGGTACTCATTTCTGTTAGAGACTGATTCGACTCCATGGCCATATTGGTGATGGAAGGATCAAGTATATTGAAAAAATTCAATGACCTCATCAAGAATCAAACCCGTGACCTTCTGGCTTGTAGCATAGTGCCTCAACCATGCTTCCACATGCCCAGCTAATAAACGTGGCAGATTATAAATAAGTTTTCATTCTTTACAAAGCTCGAAACACCTCCCATTTTAAGCAACTTTCCACTTCCTCTACACCAAACAAAATTTTGACATAAGTATTAAGCAAGATGTGTGTGTCAGACCTGGTTTCAACTCTCAGCAACAGTATTTAGCTAGCCTACATGAATCACCAACAAATATAATGTGCAATATTACAAATGCATATTTTTGGACATTTTTCTTGCTACATAAATGAATTCATTTATCATTCACTTAGAAGTCAATTCTAAAGGGCTGTGATGATGGTATGTTTCAATCAGAATCACTAGTTTTCTTGACACCCAGTATTCTGAAGAGAACAAAGTTTCAGAAACTGTGTCCGGTTGTCCTCAGGTGCTTACTCAGTTGGGTCAATTGGAAGAATCCAGTTTTAATTACTGGACCCCAAGTCAAATACCTTACTTTGTCAGATACACACACATAAAACAAGTTTACAATACAACTGATTTAGTCAGTCCAGTTTACCTTGTAATTAAACACTGTATTCCAGAAGATGATACCTTGATGCTTAATTTCTTATTAATATTTTTCAACATATTTCCTCTTCTTAGCTCCTTCTGGACTTCCCTAGTTATGCTACTTGCTTTCATAACTACCTGACCAACAGATACGGCTCTAAGTGTACCCTAAGTACCATTTCTTCTTCTTATACAATGAAGTCTAGTGTTCCACAAGGACCTACGTGGTGGGTTCAGAAAGTACCGAGCCTTCTTTTTTCCACGTAAACCAATGAAGCGCGGGAGGCTCCCTTTGGTGGAGATGTGGAGGGGACATTCATGCGCACTCGTGAATTTTTTCCCGCCCACAGAAAGTGTCAGTTGCTGGCAGTCGGCCTATGAGTGAGGACGTGTAGTGAGCGCTCGTCGGATTCCAGTAAGGTGTAAAATGACGGAGCAACATGAGCAGCGATATTGCATCAAATGTTGCCAAAAGCTTGGCGATACCCAAGTGGAAACCATTCGCAAGGTTCAACAGGCTTTCAGGGACGATGCCATGAGCAACTGATGGATAAAGAAGTGGTACAACCGCTTCAAAGATGGCCGCACATCAGTGGACAGCGAACCGCATTCAGGCAGACCCTCAACAAGCCGAAATGAGAATGTCATTGAGCAAGTGCGGACTTTGGACTTGGAGGACCATCGTATCACGGTCCGAGAACTTGCGAACGAGGTAGGGGTAAGCATTGGATCGATACATTCAATTTTGACCAAGGATTTGGGCATGAAGAGAGTGTCCGCGAAATTCATACTGAAACTGTGCATCTCATTCAGACTTTCGTCGCCAAACACAACATCCCTGTGGTTCGTCAGGCTCCCCACTCCCCCGACATGGCTCTGTGTGACTTCTGGCTATTTCCCAAGCTGAAATTGCCACTGAAAGGAACCCGATTTGAGTCAAGAGAAGACATCATGCAGAATGCGACGGCCCAGCTGATCACCATTCCAAAAGACGTGTTCCAGAAGTGTTTCCAGCAATGGCGGAAGCGCTGGGAGAAGTGTGTGCATTACCAAGGAGACTACTTTGAAGGGGATTATGGTTTTGTACCTCCAAATCAATAAATGTATTTCTGCCAACCAAAGGTTCCATACTTTTTGACCACACTACCTACTTCACAGCCCTTACTATGGAGTAGTCTTACCCATTCCTTTTCTTTGTGAATGATCTTAGGATGTACTGTAACATCACAAATGTTGTGGACTGTAAGCTTCTGCAGCATGCTATAACAGTGTGAAACTAAATACTGGTAAAATTACGGTTATTTTCTTTATTCATAAAACTAACAGTATTAACTTCAATTACAAATTACATACTAGCAGCCAACTTCCAGTGTTAAACATCTTGGAATACTGTTGGACTGGAGACTTAACCTTTAGTCAAGCTGATTACATTTTTTCACAAGGCTAAAAATGTTACATCTGATTCATTATATCAACTTTTCCTCTTCTATTACTGACAGTCTTACACTTTTGTACAATGTTCTAGTCCAAACTAAACTTGAGTACAATTCTGTCGCCTAACACACTAAGCGACTTACCTAAACTTTAAATAATTCAAGAAAAATTTGCAACCTTAAGCTATGTGTACAGCATGTTTCTTACTGGAGCCTGTAAAAACAGATATGATGACATGTTAGACTGAATCTTCCAACACTAAGTCCAGGTGGTCATTCCTTTATGCTTTATTCTCAGCGGTGTCTTAACAAACTTGGTTGCTCATCCTTTCTTGATACCGTTAGTTTAAGCACACCTACTACGTCAATCAGAAACTTTTCAACCTCTCACCTTTACCACAGCGAGACTTTTCTGTGGCACATGTTACCTGCAGGTACACTGATACCTCTAGCAAGAAGTTCGTTTTTTTTTACCAAATACTACATTTGTTAATAACTCCTCTCTCATCAACACCATAATTATTATTCAGAACTCATTCTCTATCAATGCTACAGGCAATAAATATATCTTAATGAAACTGAGGAGACTTGAAGCATGTGTCGACACCTGCACTGTCATGTTCTTATTGTCCTCACCTGTATCAACATGCCGTGTTGCCGACTCTGCTTCCGACTAGCATCGAGCTGCTTCTGAAGCACCGCCTGTTCACCAGAGATTCTCTGCAACTCCAGGGCATCAGTGTCTGTGAGCTCATTCCCAGATTTACGCAGCTGACGCTGTTTGCTGTTCAGGGACTAAAACATAGAATACTTGCATCAACTCCACTGTATAGCAATTACTTAATCAAATGGAGTACCCTAAATTGGGAACTGCCATTTAAATTTCCTAACTTCCTTTTGCATTCCTCAATGCAATAGCAATAACTGAATGAGACAAAAAAAATACATCAAGTTGTCTGTGCTTGTTTATTGTACCAAGATCAAAAGGAAAGCGAACTAAGCATCAAGCTAGTTACTCACGACATGTGCTAAATTGAGCTGTAAGGGTCTAAATTTTCAGAATTATTTCACTAACCAAACAGCGTAAACTCTGTTGGGTTCCCGCAGCAAACAGAATTTGGTGAGCTTACCTTGCGAATCTTACGTAACTTGCTCACTTCCGTCTCGTAATACTTCAGTTGTGATGTAACTATCTGGTTCTGATGATTCAGCCACTGCTCATAATGCATTTGTGTTTGTCGATCCTGCTCTGTCATGATGTTCTCTGGGGGCAAAGGAGGTGCTGGCAAGAGAGGGGCATTGAACAGAGGCACTCGACCAGCTGAAATAAAACATATCTTATAGTAAGATAAATTGTTTGTAAATGGTAAGAACCAATCATACACAGGATTTTTCAGTTCACAAAGCAGGAAAATTTGGGGCATCAAACATTGATTACTAATGCCTAATGTCACCAACTGTATTCAACAAATTTCAAAATATAAAAAAATGTAAATAGTTGAGACATTTTCTGTTTTGAAGGGGGATAAACATCAGTTTCAGACATTGTCAAGCACTACAGAACAACAAGGAATGTTTTTCTTTATTTTATTTCTTGATAAAAACATTTCTGCTGCCAGAACTGCCATTCATTAGCAGCGCACATTTTGTAACGGCAGCAACCACCGCCAGGTCCCTCAACCAGACCCCCTTCTTTCCTTTCCCCCCTCTCCACATGCCCTACGCTTGCGCCCTTCATCCTTTCACCAGGGACTGAGAGGCTCGTCTGAACACGGGAGGGCCATTCTGCTGCACGCCGTGGAAGAGTCTGGTCTCGACCCCAAATTATTTTTTGGAATTTTGGTTTACTAAATTAACGGCGGAGTTGGTGGACGCTTGTACGTTGTGCCGTCCTTATCTGGGGCAGTTTGTATTTTTCTAATCAATTATATTATTATATTA